ACAATAACAAAACGAAAATCAATAAATGAAATCGGGTATTAACTCGCGCGTTCGTGTATTTAAGATTAATATATGCGTACAGTTGCATATTACGACATAGTCAGTTAGCGATTATTTTGTTTTCACCAGTTATTCATAAAACTAAATCATATTATTTATATACATGTTTGCAGTTTACTTATATCGTTGATATTTATAGTGGAAATATTTCTACGATCTTTATTACCTATATTGTATCAATGAACTATATTAAAATTAATAACAATATATTTAGTATAATACTGTTACCACAATAAAATGTTATATATATATATATATATATATATATATAATATAATGCTACTCAATTATTGTAATTGAAAAGATTGTTGTTTTTGTGAAATAGCAATATATAGTACTAATATTGGATATTGGAAGGTGCCAAGAAACTATTTTGGAGCGAGTAATGGATTCGAGTTATTAATTTAGTACAAGACGAAAAAGTGTTTTGCCCGCTTTTTAAGTCAAATTTAGGACAATATCACGATTATTAAATTTCGAATCTAATAATATTTAATAAAATATTAATGTTTTTTCATGTTTATTCTTCGATAATGATTAATTAGAGTATTAACTCCTATACAGTATGCATGTTACATAATCGGTGTTATTGGTAAAATATAATATGGCTACCGCTTAAAATTAAAAATCAACTTTAATAAATCATACCTTATCTTACTTTTTTATTATGTTAAAATACGACCTATGTAAATAATATAGTCTGAAAAAAATTCAATAAAAGTCCTACTATCTATAAAATTATTTTTCATGAATTGTCTGATGTCAATGAGAGTTTACCAATTGAGTTCTATACATTTTAAAATACTTAATGAAAACTTATTAGTTGGTTATAAATTTATATTCATACAATAAATTAATACACACGTCAAATTGTTTACAAGTATAAATACATGAAATGACATACATAAATAGATATAGTAAATTATTCAAAATTAAAGTTATATCAGTTACATAATAATCCACATTTAAACTTTTTTTTTGAATTCAAACTAATACTAAACAACAAGATATAAGTAACAGCTATCATCAATATGTTATCCTATATAGTACAGTACTTATATATTATTGTGCAACAAAACAATTAGGCTAATAAATATCTAATGATAATGAAAACTTATTTTTGTCTATTACTCAAATTCATACTTGTACTATCAAATATGAAAAACAATAAGAATAATTTTTCATAAAATTCCCAATACTGTTATAAAGTATATTATAACCAGTCACTTAAACCAATAATCAATTTATCAATAAAATAATTTTTAATTTTTAAGCATTTTTGTGTGTAGATTGTTTAAGTCGATGTTGATGAAATTAGATTGAAAAAAAATATTTTCATATTTCAAGATAAAAATTAAATACAAGCGTAATTGGTACACTAACCCTAAACAAAAACTTTATTTTTGGCATAATTGGTTCATGTCCGTGTCAGTTTATTATACAGATTGATTCATTGATAATGTTAGCTATTAAAGTTATATTTTTAGAATTTTTAAATATATTAAAAGACTATATTTTAAAACTCACGAGATTTTTGATACTACATAAAGAGTATCTTGTGGATATACACAAACTTCTGTATTTTAAATGCTTACTGCTGTAAACTAAAAAATGAATAAAATTTTTGAAAATATCTTTGTATCAGAATCATACGAATGAGAAGTTGAGAAGTATTTGAGTTATTTAGTTTTATGTACTAAGTATAATAGGTTAATTATTGGGTGACTATAGTGATTTTAAAAAATAAATAATAATCTATCAAAATGAATGGTTTATAAAAATGACCCAAGTAAAGTAAACACTAAATTCAATATCACATCTATATTTTAAATTTATATTCATCCATTGTTAAGGTTTATAATCCTTAATATAAATATTTTAACTAAGATAGTACTAGTTATTACTTTTTAAAATTGTGTACATCAACATGTTTAAAGTAATTTATACTAAATAATTTAAATAAAAACGGCAGTTCTCATTTTAAAAACAGAAATTTATATCAAAAATCAGAATTCGAATAAATTCATTATTAAAGGAAAAATATTATTGAACATGCTTTGTGAAATGGAATTTATATATATATATACATATATACACACACACCTAATTACTTAATCATCAGAGTATAAAATATTAAAAGGACGTTATTTTTTTACCACTCTAAACATAAATTAATAATAATTAAATATAGCAGCTATAGTTATTTATTAACAGGTAAATTTAACCTGTACAAATGATGTAATTTTAGATGTTTTCATTTCACTAATTTATGTTGGTACATATTTAAAATATATCAATATAATGATAAAATATTTTCAAACGAGTAGCTTTCAAGATTAATAAAACATTAAAACGTATTGTTTAGATTGAAATAAACATGATTTCATAGTGTCGCAACAAATAAAAAAGGAATCAAGATTTTTTTTTTATGCTCTTTAAAAAAAAAAAATCCTTTGTAGTCAACAAACATAATGGAAAAGGTAAATATTTAAAATATTTAATCTTTTAACGTTGTACTTTTATTTTGTTAATGGAATATTAATATTTTTCATAAATTAGTTCAAAACTTTTAGTTCGTGTAGCTTACTGTGTATATGCGTTGCAATGCATTTCGTTATTTGTATACAATAAAAATTACTAATAAATACAAGTTAAATATCACACCTAAATCTAAAATCATTTTTGAAAAAAATTTTGTTTATTGGTTAATATTTATTTTGTTTTTATTTTTTATAAAACCATTTAACTATACACTTAAATACTTGTAAATATTAGTAAAATAGAAACTGTAAAAATAATTCATTATTGTTATTTTTTTTTTTCTTTAATTGGTCAAAATAATAATATTCTAGCGAAGGTACTTTATAATTAAACGTTAATATATATAAATTATAATTTGAAAATGTTTTGTTTTTATTTGTAACTGTTTAAATGCAACTGTTAATATCTATTAAATTTATTTTTTTTGAAGATATAGAAAACTATAAAAATAAAATATTATTATAATTATTATTATTATTACTTACTAGATATATGGCAATTATTGATATAAATAATTTTATTAGTTGAAATGAAACATAATAACTGTTACCTATGTAATCATTTGTTTTTATATTACTACATGTATAAAACATATTATATAATTCCTATATTTAAAATAACGGCGTTATACTCAAATATAGAATTATTAAAGTTCAAAGTCCTTATACTAAGACATAATATAAACTGAAAGTTAAAGTCAATTAAACATATTATAAGAAAAACGGTTTCACATATCAATTAAAAATTAACTTAATTTTAATTTAGAATTTTTAATGAATATCATATCGCAATACATGCTTTACGTATAAGTAAATAATTATTTTTTTTAAGACAGAAAATATTATAAAAACATAAGGGGAGAGAAAAAATGCACAATAATTTTTATTATCCAATCAAAATTCGTCAAAAAAAAAAAAAAAAAAAAATCGTCTTTTCCGTCGCATAATCTTTTACCTCCTTATACCTTTATATTATATTTTAATACGCATTTCTTCCACTGTCGAGAAATCAGTATAAAAATAATATCCAACTTATAAAGTCGTTTTAAGATTTCTTACATTTTATTATTTTGTATATTAACTTGAAATATCTAATAAACCAAAGAATATGATAAAAACTTGGAAACTTATTTATTTTAATAAGTATTATTGAAAACTTAACAAAAATTTACTAAGTAGGTCTAAGAATATAACATCAAATAAAATAATACAGATAATCATAAGTATTAGTCATCGTTACTAAAATACATTAGTAAAACACATTCAATTTTACAATACATGTGAATTGTTCATATTGGAAATTATACTTGTCAGTTCATCAAATGGTCATATTATGATAATGTTATTTTAAAAGTTTTACATTTAATTACAACAGAATTAAATAATGAATTTAAAATTTAGCTATGAACAACGAATAAATTCGAAAAAAAATTTAATATGATATCAAAAAATATTGAACATTGATAACAGTGATAATGATCACGTAATGACGTAATACGCATTATCAGCATGGAAAATCGTTTTTATTGTTTTAAAATAGGAATGTGCTAATACATACTTAATAATATTAATAACTTGATATTTCCAATAAAAAAAAAATAACTAATTTGATAAGATTTTATTTCTTAATATTTATATTGAAGAATAATGATTGCATAAGTATTTAAGATACATTTTTTTTATTACAAACCCAATTTAGTGGAAATTATATGTAGATATCCAAACATGGATATCATTTTCCTTTTCCAATAAACAGAAAAAAAAAAAAACAATAAAAAGAAAATAAAGAACGAAAATAAACAGATGGCTTTATAGTCATTAAATATAAAATGAATCGTTTTTGAAGTGTGATTAATAATCATTTTCAAATTTAATAAACAGCTTATAATAATAATATACAATATGCCACAAAATTAATCTACTCAAAATTTAACTCCGTTTTATTTAAATCTCGATTTGATGCGATAAAGATATAGTTTGACAATTGGTATAATATTCAAATATATTATCCATATTTACTTATTGAAATAAAATTAATAATTAAAATAAAAACCAATAATAAATTGTACATGTGTAAATATCAAATCTTCCATATTACTATTCGCTATTTTACATATTTAACTAGATAGTACAATAACTAATGAGAACGTTTTTCCAAAATCGACTTATTCAGTTCCAACCCGTATAAAGTCTATAATTATGTAAAAGTTACGTAATTTCGTTATTAATTAACTCTAAAATATATGACGTAATTTTCAATTTTATATTGGTACTTTTTTTTTAATTTTAATTATTATTAAACTACATTAAGAGAAAGCATATTGATATAATTCAGAACAAATACATTTGTCACCACCTATTTTAAATAGCTGAAAAAATAATTTGATTTTTGGTACTCACCTCAAAATTTAGAATGCCATTTCTTTCGTGGTCCAACGATTGAAAGACATAGTGAGCATATTGACTTATGTTGGCTGCGATAAAATAATAAACACAATATCAATGCAAATTACAGTATAAACGTATTTAGGTTTTTTTGTGGTACGTTACCTCCTTGAGGGAAAAATTGCGAGTAAATGCCACGGAACGCGTCTTCTTTGATAAGTCCGGTCGGGCATTCCGTTTTGAAATTGCGGTAAATTTTTTTAATTTCCGATTCTGTAAAACCCGTTGTCCGGCAAAAGTATTGTACGCTTTCGGGTCTGTATCTGGGCGGTGTTTCCAAATCATCGAATTCGGAATCTAAAGCGGAAAACGTTGTCATAGTAAGATTAATAAAATATATTTATGTTATTGGCGGACCGATTTTACATTTGCAGAACGATATTGTGTGATATATTATACAGCGAATATAATTTATGCCATGCAAGCTAAAATGGTAATAATTTCGACGTGAACTAAAAGCGGCGTAAAACATGCTGAAACAGTGTATTTTATAATAAATTGACACTTGACCTTACCGTCGCTCCGAGACGCTCGTACACAAATTACGACTATACTTAACAGTCTATAATATTGAAAAAAGCGGGAGGCGTATCCGACTCGACCCGACGCTGATCAACGACCCCCGACCCTATAGCGAATTGTGTTAAAGTTGTTGTTGTTGTCGTAGTTTTTGCATTGCTGCGATATTCATTTCGGGGAAAAAATAAGGAGGAACAAAAAAAAGAAAAGAAGAATATTACGATATCGGAAAATGAACATTTGTGATTTCGCTGCGTCTGCGTCCTTTACTCGTATTATAGCAACCGAACAATCTACATAATGAGCCAATACTGTTCAGTGGTTTTGAAGTATAAAAACTTAATCTACTCTAGTAAGCTACTGCTTAGCTGCTGTAATAAGCAGTTAGTAATACGAACAAATAGACGCACATGGACTTCGAGTTAGCAAATCAATCAATATGACATTTTATATATACATGCATTGCGTAGTGTATGTCGTAGTTTTATATTTTCGCGATTTCATCGTGTACCTTTTTTATTATGTGAGTTTAAACAGTATTTATTGGAGTTATTGCGGTCGTAACATTAAACAAACCCTCAACAAATATTATGGTCTAAACGAGTGGTCATAAAAATCATAAACGATTATTTTTTTTTTTATTATTATTCATTATTATTATTTGGTATAAAATAGTAAATACTGCAGCTTACGTGTAATTGGTTTGTTTATCAACTTAATTTAATTTTGACTAGTTGTGGATAAACAACAACAAATATTTGATGAAATACTTGTGTTGTTCTAATTATACATGCAATTTTAATTGGATTAAAAATAAATACACTAAAATATAAAATATACGAACGCAAAAAACATTAATAAATGTATTTAACACAACAAAATACTACGGCCTTCTCATATAATGTAGAAAATTATTATGGCATTGTATAATAATATTATGTACGCATATAAAGGGGTGTCGGGTATAATTAATTTATAAACTTAATTTTACACAACTTCCGAAATACCCGAAACACGTCGGTTCATGGTGCATCAATGGTAACAATAATAATCATAATAATAATATAACTATGACCACTATTGACGAAAAAAAATTTGATTTCGTTGTTTAATCAGCAAAAAAAATTTTAAAATTATATAATTTTTGTCTAGATTATATGAACTTGCATATAATATAGATTATATGTCATCTACTATAGAACACCGCCTAAATCGAGACCACGACAAAATCATACAGAGGACAACATTTCACGGCAAAGGTGGTATTGAATTTGGCATAAAATCAATTATAATTATACGCCGCATATTGACAAACAAACACACCATGTGTAATGGACACCTAAAATATATCATCCATTATGCGGGTTATTGTGGTTTACATGACGTGATATTATATTCTTCGGACATTTTATCAGAATTACCGATTATCTATGTTGGATAAACAAGTTCAAAAATGCTCACCAGAAGCATTCGATTAATACCCAAAAATAGCTAGAAAATTCGGTAGTATACTTAATCAAATATAACAAAGTACTTAGAATAAGAATGCGTATGGTCTACTAATAATTTAATTACATAAAAAATATTAAATCTGCGGTTTTAGCAAAAAACAATTTTAGAAAAATGGAATGTTTAATTGAAAAAAGATTATGCTCAAGAACTTTCGTCGTGAAATCGATTAGCAAAAAAGGTAAAATAGGACATTCCATTTAGTCGATTAGAAAATATTAGGATTTATTATTGTGCCTTGATTGGTGTATATAGTCGAAAAGTAAGCACGTGTGTACGAATAATTATAAAAAAAGGTGTACAACAATCAGTAAATGTTGTGTTGGTAGTTAATTTTGTTTGATAATAATTTGTATAAATGCCTTCTGCAGACTCAAAACGTTTTTACTCGAGAAAATCAAATTATGTAACAGTACTGTAATTAGTTAATATTATAAAAACTTTAAAATGGAGTACTCTTTTTTAAGTTTCACGTCTATACATAACAGTCTTGTAATTTAATTTAAAGGTTAATTTAAGCGATCCCAACTAATATAGTAATATTGTATCACATGCAAATGCAATCTAAAACTTGTTACGTAAGTTTAAACATTTATTTTTTTTTAATCTTTACTAAAATTATGAACAAATTATTATTAGTTGATATTAAGTTTTGAATAATTTATAACATTTAGATGAAATGTTTCAAAGAACCAAGTTTGAAATACCACCATACTTATAAACGATTAAGTTCTGAATTTTAAAAAAAACAACAACAACAGGTATCATTAATTATTTATGATAATATCAAAAAAAGAAAATTATGTTTAAAACAAATAAATTTTAATCGATCGATAATACGAGTAGTACATTGAATTACGTAATATTGGTGGTTTTTATCTTTTGTCAACACACTTTACACTATATAGCTATACCTACGAACTATACTCGGTTACGTCAAAACGCTTCTAACAAATTGAATCTCGAATAAAAGTTCGATATTTCGATGCTATTTTCTATGGTATACCTACTGGAAAAAATTCTCCCGCGGTAGCGGTCCTATCGGGATTTGATACAAAAGCACTTAACATTCTAGAGCAACGTTTGCGATGCGAAAAAAACTCGGAGCAATGCAAGGGACAACGTCTAAACCGCCGTGTAAACTGTGCGAATTACCCGGTGACAGGCGGCGTGCAATGGAACGTCCGCGGCGTGCGATACGGCGGTGAGTGAGATTGGTGCGCGGGGAAGGAACGACGACCGACCGAGTGCCGGTCGGAGGAAACGTCGCGGTCGTCAAACCGACCGACGCGGACCGGTCGGCCGGCCGACGGCGTGGGCCAATCGCTGTGAAACGCGCGCGGCGGACGTCCAAAAGCCATTTTCGTCCGGCCATAGAAAGCATGCTCTAAAAGCCGGTTGCACGTCTACGTCGTCGGCCCCGTCCAAAAGCCGAGAGTTCACCCCGACTCCGGACTTTCCCCCAAACAGCAAGATGCTGTCGTGGACCGCGCCGTTTGCACGGCCAATCGGAACGCGGTGCGTGCCGCGTGGCCAAGCAGACGACGGCCGCGACTCGGGCGTACAGCGCGTGCCGATCCGCCGTCGGCCTGCAGGCAGGTGCGTGGGCCGGGTTGGTGGGTGGACGCGGGTCTATGGCGACGACCCACCGGCGCGCACGACCGGCCGGCCGTGCTACGACGACGAGAACTGACACCGGTCCACGCCTGCCGGATGAAGTTGTACACCCGTCGGTAGAGCGGCCGGTTGGACGAGGACGGCGACGGCGGCGGCGGCGGCGACGACGGCGACTGGCCCCGGTGGTGGTGATGGTTGTGGTGATAGTAGGACGTCTTGTCCGCGATGTGGTGGTGAATGTTGTGCCGGCGCTGCGGGTGCGCGCGGCCGCGGTAAAACACGCTGTTGTGGTGGTAGTGGTGGAGGTAGTGGTGGTGGTGCAGCAGGTTGGCGGTCGGCTGCGGCTGCAGGTGATGGTGGTGGTGGTGGTGATGGTAGTGTCCGGTGCCAGCGAGAGCGGTGCGGCCGGCACTGCTGTTCACCATGACAGCGGCCGCCCGCAGCGTGCGCGGCCGCGCCGAGCGCGTGTCCACGTCGTCATCGTAGTACCGGTCGTCGAACGCGTCCGGCCACTCCAAGTCCTCGAAGCCGATCGTCTTTCACGCGGGGCTGCACGATCGCCGCGCGGCCGCCCGGCGTCGCGTCTCCGGCGGATCCGGCCCCCGCTTCCGCCGTCGTCGCTGTGTTCCGGTGTGGCGGCCGTGCGCGAGGGTAGCGCTGTATGCTACCGCGACAGCTGTGATAACGGTCGCGTGTTACACGCCGCCCCGCGCGCACCGGTCGAGCGCCAGTGCCCGTCGATCCGTGTCCGCGTCAACGCTAATCACAAGACGACAATAAAATAAAGATATTATAACAGTCGTTACTCGCTGCGTAAATAGTAATATTATGTGTTGTCATCGTCAAAGGCGTACCCTCCTTCCCCCCGCCCACCTTTCCGGAGAGTACCGGCAGGTCAGATAGCATAATATGTAACGTACACCTAACACTGAGTTTATTTGTCCACTAGGTAGGTACTCGTAGACTTGAGACCGGTTAATTACGATGTAATTGAGAACTCGGCTACGGTCGAGTTGAGACGACTTGACATTTTCGGTTGATTTGAAAACTAGCCATATCGAGCTGTGATTAAAAATATTTTCGAATTGTTTGGTTCCAGTGGGTTTTATTCGTTGTAATGCGTATGTGCGTTTATCTTTTTTGCTGTACACGGTTTTAAATACGAGTAATCCAATGCTATATAATAATAGTAATAGACAATACTTTAATAATTATTTCTAACCTGTTTCTCGATAAAACAATACTACCCATATACATAGATCCTGAGTTCAATAAATCATTTGTTAACTTACTGTAAACATCTAATTTAACGAAACATACTTTCACATATTCACTCGAAGTATCTTAGGTTACGTGCTTTCGTTTGCTTGCTCATCTTTGATTATCATAAAATATTGTCAATTTGATATAATATTTTATGGACTACTTATACATTTTTTTCAAGCCTATCAGAGGTCAAAAATAGCGACCTATGTAAGAATTTTATTTATTTAGTCCAAAGATAGATTATATATTATTTAAATTTTCAATGATGAATTTATTTTGGTTTTTGTTTATTAAAATTTGGTTTTTTTGACTTTGGCTTTACTTTCTTTTCACTTTTGGATAAAAAATAAACTTTTAGTTTTAACAGTCTTCAAAATCTGATTCAT